TTTTTCATATTTCTGTTTCATCCCCGCTGTCCATGGAAGGTAGAGAGTTTATGGACTTCCAGCTGTGGTTGGGCAACACTTCCAAAAATTCCTGACTATTGGTCATAATGGCTAGGGTTGATGGGACTTAAAGTCCAACATCTGGAGAGCTATAGGTTCCCCATCTAGGGCAGTGGGTCCCAAACATTGATCCTCCAAATGTTTTAGGCATCATCTCCAGAATCCCCGCCAATTAATCAGTTTGGGAACAACTGATCTAGAGTAGATGAGGAATTTTAATTTTTTTTTTGAATGACTTCTGAGAATTTTAAATAACAGGAAAAAATATTTACGATCCACCACTGACTGTCCACACAGCTAGGTTTCTGCATGTTACACAAGTGTTATAGGACTTCCACACAACTATATAACCCAGAATATCAAGGCAGATAATCTACAATATTTGCTTTGAACTGGGTTATCTGAGTCCACACTGCCATATAATCCAGTTTGATAGCTCGGTGGAAAGGGCCATAGACACAAGGTTTCAGTTAAGAAACATTAGACAACATCTGAGGATGCCTGCTATAGATGCCGGCAAAACGTCAGGAGAGAATACTTCTAGAACATGGCCATACAGCCTGGAAAATCACAACAACCCAACATTAGATAAATTGGGTTGTTGTTGGTTTTTTTGGGCTATATGGCCATGTTCTAGAGGCATTCTCTCCTGATGTTTCGCCTGCATCTATGGCAAGCATCCTCAGAGGTTGGGAGGTCTGTTGGAACTAGGAAAATTGGGCAACACTTCCAAAAATTCTTTGCCCTTTGGATACTTTGGACTTCAACTCAAATAACATGAAATCCACCTCAGCTCTTATAGCCAGGTGTGTTAGGCTGAAGACTAAGGGAGATTTCTGTACTTTTTAGGAATTTCAGCAAATGTTGGTTCTCCCTTTTCATTCTGGTCCCTTTTTAAGGCAGAGCAGATAAAAGAGCCTTATACATATGTAAACAGACATACAGGTTTCACAGTGGCCATTAAATTTACTTTCATAGGGGCGAAATGTATCAACAAGAATTTGCCAACGTTCAAGAAACCACAATGTTGGCCTTGTCTGGGTTTTCCTTTTGGCAGACAAGTAGGATTTTCATGAAGTCAGTATTACCTATCCATGATTATAGATTAGGAAAGTGCAACTTCTGATCTTCTACATGAATACAAATCTGATCAACCCCAGACCAGCAGAATTGACCTTACATCAATATTAAAAAGGTAAAGGTTTTCCCCTGACATTAAGTCCAGTCTTGTCCAACTCTGGGGGTTGGTGGTCATTTCAATTTCTAAGCCGAAGAACTGCCGGAGCGGTACTTATTGATCTACTCACATTTGCATGTTTTTGAACTGCTAGGTTGGCAGAAGCTGGGGTCTAATAGCAGGAGCTCACGCCACTTTATTACTTAATTACAAATTACTTTATTACTTTACTAGCTGTCCCCTGCCACATGTTGCTGTGGCCCAGTCTGTGTATGTGTTTTGTGTGGGTATATGTGTGTATATATTTTTGTGTATATGTGTATATATGTGTGTTTATGTATATATATGTGTGTGTGTATACATACATATACATATATATATATATATGGTATTTTTTAATATATATTTTGGCTTTTTAAATATCTTCTGCTGTGTTTTTCAGTGTTTTATGAGTGCTGGTCACTCATTGGCCTGATAGGTGTATTGTGTCCAAATATAGTATCAATTTGTCCAGTGGTTTTTGAGTTATGTTAATCCCACAAATGAACATTATATTTTATTTATATAGATTACAAATATTACTTTAGATCAAAGATGTTCAGATCTTCCAGACATTGTTGGAATACAATTTCCATCAACATAGCCACTTGGAGAGAGATTTTGGAAATTACGATCCAGAAAGCACCTGGAGGTTGACAGTTATTGTTTTACAATAAGGTGTAATAATTTGCCAAGTGGCCAAGGGATTGTCTGAAATTTGAACAGTACTTTGGTGGTTGGAAGGTGTAAAGCTGCTGATTTTTAGTGTGCCTGCTTATATATATAAACAGCAGCTTTAAAAGTAAAAGATTAGTCCTTTCATGCCCTCTCTATAAATCAAGATGCACAGCGACAATTTTTTTTAAATGGCAGCTTTACTCAATTCATGCTTTTATCACAACCCTAATATGTGTGGAATCTTTATCTTCCCAACTCAACTAGTAGTAGGAAAGCACTTTTACAGATGGTGTATTACTCTCCCCATTGATAAGCCAGAAAGGAGTTCACCAGATTCAATTACCACCAGAGTGCGAACTATCAATCCCCCCCCCCCCCCCCCCCCCGGGCTTTGGAGTTAGAACACTATTTCCCATTCGGACCTGTTGAGCTACAACTCCTACCCTGAGTGGGAATTAAAGGAGTTATAGTTTAATATTTGGATGGCACCGGGCTGGGAAAAGTGACATTAGAAGGGGTTTGTGTTTCGTTATTAGCTATTCCAATCAAAACCTCCCCTGCAAACCTCTGCAAAATAAATTGCTATTCAAAGACTGAGGAGCAGAGCACATCATTTTTCTGATAAGTTGGCAATCTTACTGAGAATGCTTTAAAAACCCCAAGCTTAAAAAAAACTATTAATTGTCCTTATAGATCAGTGGTTATGAACCTTGCTAATGCCGCGACCCCTTAATACAGTTCCTCATGTTGTGATGACCCCAACCATAACATTATTTTCATTGCTACTTTATAACAGTAATTCTGCTATTGTTATGAATCGTAATATAAATATCTGATATGCAGGATGTATTTTCATTCACTGGACCAAAGTTGGCACAAATACCCAATATGCCCAAATTTGAATACTGGTGGGGTTGGGAGGGATTGATTTTGTCATTTGGGAGTTGTAGTTGTTGGGATTTGTAGTTCACCTACAATCAAAGAGCATTCCAAACTCCACCAATGATGTAATTGAACCAAATGTGGCACACAGAACTCCCAACAGAAAATACTGGGAGGATTTGGTGGGCATTGACCTTGAGTTTTGGAGTTGTAGTTCACCTACATCCAGAGAGCACTGTGGACTCAAATAACGACTGGTCTAGACCAAACTTAGCACAGATATTTAATATTCCCAAATGTGAACACCAGTGGAGTTTGGAGAAAACAGATCTTGACATTTGTGAGTTGTAGTTGCTGGGATTTATAGTTCACCTACAATCAAAGAGCGTTCTGAACAATAGAATTGGGTCAAACTTTTCACTCAGAACCCCCATGACCAATAGAAAATACTGTGTTTTCTGATGGTCTTTGGTGACCCCTCTAACACCCCCTTGTGACCCCCCCCCCCAGAGGTTCTGACTCCTAGGTTGAGAAACGCTGTTATAGATCTTTCAGTAAAGAAGATTAATTTTGGATTTCAGATGATGGCCATTTCAGAGACTTCCATAGTACAGAAATTAAAACAAATGTCAGGCCAGATGGGAAAAGAGAAGCAAGGTATATATGAACTGGGCAGTCACTCAAACCATTGCACCAAAACAAGAACAGTGAAGAAGGCCAAAGGGAGACTGGCAGCATTCGTGCTTAGCATTCAGACCCACAAAACCCTTTCCAGGGAATGGCTGCTTTTGCTTGCCCCCAAACAACTTCTAATCTAATCTACTATGAATAGTTCCATGGCCCTTCTTTTTTTGAATGCTAGATTGGACCAAAGGTATTCTTTACCCAGTCTAAACAAAGAAATTTCTCACATAGTCTGGAGACAATAATGCAAAACCCAAAATAATCTCTCACAATTAAAAAGAGCTCCCATGATCATCACTAAAGCATTTATTTGAAATGGTGAAAGGTAAGCCAGAACCAATAATAATAATAATAATAATAATAAAGAACCAATAACAACAACAACAACAACAAGAAGAAGTCCTAGAAACTTGGGAAGTGTCTGACGCGTGATCCAATACAACAGCCAGCATAGAGATATTGTTTGCTGTGTACTAATCTTGTTGTACATAAATAATAATAATAATAATAATAATAATAATAATATAAATATATAAATAATATAAATATAAATATTATTATTATTATTAGTAGTAGTAGTAGTAGTAGTAGTAGTAGTATTTATATTCTGCCCTATCTCCCCCAAAGGGACTCAGGGCAGATTCATCAATCAGTCCAGAAGAATTTTAAAAATAAACACCAAAATCAAAGCTCTGTCCATTTTCCCTAAGAATGTCATACGTCCATGGTGAACAATGCAAGACTTGACTTCACAGAAGTTTGGGTCAACCTGAATATTTAGCAATCTGATCTATAAGACCTTGGGCACCTGAGTGCTTCAGTGACTAGCTGGCAAGCCTGGCTAAAAATATAGGATAAATAGGAAAAATTTAAAAAAATCGTTAAAATAGTAATGATGAAAGCTAGAATCAGAAAAATGGGTGGGGAAGGCAAATGCTGAAGAAATAGTCACATCTGAACTCCAACAGAGAAAAGGAACTGACCTCTTACGATGGTAGATATCTCCAAGTTTGGAGGACGGCTGAAGAATCCCCATTCTTTTGTGTCCATCCTTGGAGCTCTAGGACTTGGCAAACCCATATAGGAGCCTTGGCCCCTCTGTATCCACCTAACAACCTGGAGGAGTTTGTTCCCTGCATGTCAATGTGAAGAGAACCCCAATTCCTCCTTTGTCTGCTGTCCTTCGATCGGTCAGACTCTGTAGTGGAAGGGGCTCTCCACTCTCAGATCTGAAGGCGTCTCTTGTGGTGGTTTGGTTTGGGTTTTTTAAGCTCAGAGACATCAGCCACCACGAAAGGGAAGGAAGAGGAAATTTTTTTGTACCAGAAGGAAAGAGCGGAGGGGGGCCCTGTTTCTGGAGCTGGGTGTGTATGAGAGAGAGGAACTGAACCGGAGACCAGCGCAGTGCAAGCCTGCAACAGAGACAAGGCAAGGGAATCCATTGGTCAGACAAAGCTGGAGGAACATCTCTAGAACTTACCTTGATGGTGCAATCCATGGCACGCCTCTACCTGCTGCTTCCCGCCTAGACCTCCATGGGCACTTGCCTGAATTGCAGGGGCAGGGGCTGTTCAGGCACGGGGGGCCGGATGAACAGGCGTGTGTGTGTATATGTGTGTGTGTGTGTGTGCGTCTAATTTTGGGAAGTGAAGTCACACAAACCGCCAGGGCTGGTTTCCTATTGGTGTGACCAAGCTTGCAAGCACTGAAACTTTTTTTATAACATTGCTGGTTTGCAAGCATTTTTCCCTCCCTCTGCTTCTTCAAATCGCAAAGAAGGTTGAGAAGTTAGATGTCTAGAGGAAAGAAAAAGGGAGCCATGGCAGAGATTGTTCTAGCGAATAGGGATATATAGGAAAAACATAATTTTGTTCTCAAAAATTAATGTGGTTATGTTATTGATTGTTTTTTTATTTATTTTACAAAATTATTGATCTGATATTTTATCTAGATCAGTGGTTCTCAACCTGTGGGTTCCCAGGTGTATTGGTCTACAACTCCCAGAAATCCCAGCCAGTCTACCAGCTGTTCCTGGGAGTTGAAGGCCAAAACATCTGGGGACCCACAGGTTGAGAACCACTGACTAGATTATTTTATTGATCTGTTTGACAAGGACTGGAAGCAAGAAGGACATTCCTAATCAACACACCTCCCAAAAGCAAAGTAACACCAGGGTTGAACTCTGAATACAGACATTCAGGTGCCCATGTATGGCTGAAAATTGATCTCTTGGATCAGAAGCTCGGCTTACCATTTTAGAGTTCCCCTGGGTGTGCTTTAAATGACATGTCAAGCACATCAGAGCTTGGAAAAGTTAACTCTCCCAAATTCTTGATACAAATACAAACTCTGTAGTCATAATCTGGTTGACAACAAACAAACTCATACTACTAAAGTGTTGGTCTCTGAACCATTTCCAGTCGCCAAGCCATTGGCTGATGCTCCCTGGAAGGTTTTGGGATGAAAGAAAAATAATTGACAGTTGCCCACATCAGATAGCTTGAGAAGCACTGGTCTGGACAACAACAATAATAATAATAATAATAATAATAATAATGTTCACCAATACATCACACAGTCCTAGAAACTTGGGAAGTGTCCAACGTGTGATCCAATATAACAGCCAGCAGAGTGATCTTGTCTGCTGTGGACTCATCTTATTGTGTTTCAAATAATAATAATAATAATAATAATAATAATAATAATAATAATAATAATAATAAAATACACTTCATTTATATTCCACTTTATCTCCCCAGAGGGACTCAGAACAGATTACAGTACACCCAGAAGGCAAACATTCAATGCCTTTTACCCAACAAACAATGACATACAATAGACAGATAAGATTAAGGCCTTCCCCCTTTTAATCGCTGGCGTCTGGAGGTGATGCTCAACTCCAGCCATGGGGAGGTACTCTTGTTCCATTTCCATGCCATGGAGCCAACTATCCATAACATCTCAGATCTTTTTGCCAGCATGTCTGCATTAGATGCCCTTTTACCTTCCCACCAAGGGGATACCTATTGATCTACTCACATTGCATGCTTTCAAACTGCTAGGTTGGCAGAAGTTGGGGCTGATCTACTCACATTGCATGCTTTCAAACTGCTAGGTTGGCAGAAGCCACAAGGAGTGAGCAGAAGCTCACTCCTCGTGGCTTCAAACTGTCACAAAATCAGCTGTAAAATGTCTGTATGCTTTTTAAAGGATATCTTGTTTGGCTCTCAAAGTAAACGTAGTTCTATACTACTATGTAACTGTCAGAAGTTATCCTGAGACATAATATTCTTTAAGAAATGTCTTAATTGTAACACATCCTTTTTTTTGTTCATGCTCAAAATGATACATATTAAGGAAATACAAAAGCAGAAAGACACAAAAAAGAAAACAAATATATAGCAAAAACTCAATCTCAACTAAGACACAATATTAAAACTAATTAAAACCTTAAGATACAAAAGGGTGCTGATCAACCTCTATCCAAACTGTAATGACAGAAAGAAAAATCAAACAGAAAAACTATATTAGTCTGCAATTCAGATGCAACTGAACAATATTGCTAGAATTACTTGTAACCATAGCCACGGAATATAACATGGAGATATAATATTTTGTTTATATTATATCCCTGTTCCAATTTGGTAATGTTAGTTGCAATGAATCCACTGACATTCACTTTTTTCAAGATGCTTTTGAAATGTCCTAGTTCCTCTCTCAGTTTCCACCTTTATATTCAGTTTACTTCATTTGCTGCAAACTGAGATCAAAGTGGAAATGTCATTTACACTTAGTTGACACTAGGGCTGGGCGGTTTCGTTCGTTAATTTCGTAATTCGTTATTAATTCGTTATTTTTTGATAACGAAGCGATATTGAACCATTCAGGAGCAACTAAAAATCGAAACGAATTTTTCAATTCGTTTCGTAATTGTTTCGAAATTGTTTCGAAATCGTTTCGAAATCGTTTTGTTATTATTTCCACATGTCTGGTGCAAGTTTTATAGTTGTTGTTTGTTTTATCAGTGAAAAAAATATATAATTATCACACCAACAGTCAACAACAGAGGGAGAGGGAAGCTTCAGAAGTTCCCCCTGTCCCATTTGGAGGTTTTTTTAGCGTATTGCGCGATCGCGTCCGCCATTAACAAATCGATTTGTAATTGTTTCGTAATTGTTTTGTAATTTCCGAAATTTCGTAAATTTCGAACTTTTTTAAAGGAAACTTTCGGAATTCTTTTTAAAATCGAAACGCAAAAACCCTCTAAAAACGAATCGAGTTTAGAAACAATTTTTTCCGTGGTTGCCCAGCCCTAGTTGACACAGTAGAGGAAATGGAGAGCAGAGGGTAGAATCTTGACTTTACAGTAGATTCAGGCAAAAGCAAACTGATGTAACTTCTCCTAGCTTGCCTATTTTATCCTCCTAATAACCTTTTCCCATGTTGGTCATGCTCTGATACTGTTTGACCACACATGTCCACTTGTGAAGCTTGGGAAAGTCCGATATTGTTATTGAATATGACCACCCTCACCCCTGATAAAAAAGAGAAATATATCGTATATACTCGAGTATAAGCCGACCCGAATATAAACCAACCCCCCCCCCCCCCCCCCCCCCCCCCCCCCCCCCCCAGCTACATGCTCAGCTACAGATCGCCCCATGGCCCCACTCACTTCCATCACAACAAAGTTAAAATCTTTTTGTCTTATGCAAATGTATGCATGAATGTAGCGGAATGAATTACAACAAATAATGCAATTATCCTTTCCTATCCTTCATGCAACCAAGATGAGACCCTTCTTTCCTCGCCCTTATTTCCACATATGAACATATACTACAGCATCGAATAAACTCAATTTTTATCTTATTTTATTACTTTATTTTATTGAACTATATGAAATAGATAAGGAGCCACCGGTGCTGCAGTGAGTTAACCCCTGAGCTGGTGAACTTGCTGATCGAAAGGTCGCAGGTTTGAATCCATGGAGCAGCATGAGCTCCCACTGTTAGCCTCAACTTCTGCCATCCTAGAAGTTTGAAAACATGCAAATGTAAGTAGATTAATAGATACTGCTCTGGCGGGAAGGTAACGGTGCTTCATGCAGTCATGCTGGCCACATGACCTTGGAGATATCTATGGACAACGCTGGCTCTTTGGTTTAGAAATGGAGATGAACACCAACCCCCAGAGTCGGACACGGCTGGACTTAATGTCAGTGGAAAAGCTTTACCCTAACCTATATGAAATAGAAGGCAGACCAGAATGAACTCTAAAAACGTCTTGAGCAACCTCCACCATTCCAGGTACTCCTTCAACCTCCTGTATGGACAAGACATAATCTGTCCGACAAAGAGCCTTCCTGTCTGCCAGCGGGGAGCAATCCATTTGTCACTCTGAACTTCCTCTCTGGGGGATCTCAGCTATCCACTAGACAAAGACTAAGGAAGAAACTCTGATGGCACACTCATCTCCAATAGACATTTCTAGGATCTTTTCTTTGTCCTCCCAGCATGGGAAGATGTCTGGGGTACCTAACACTCATTGTCCTAGCATCCAAGACCCGGTATCTGCATAATCTCATATTTCATCTTCCTTAACTCTCATTTATTTATTTATTTATTTCTGGTACTTTTACCCCGCCCTTCTCAACCCCCGAAGGGGGACTCAGGGCGGCTTACAGAAAAGGCAGAATTCAATGCCTATACAAATTACACATAATATACAAAAACGTAATTAAAACAGTTATCACAATTAAAACAGTCAACAACCAGTACATAACACATCATATAAAACATCATATAAAAGTCATTCTTATAATCAGCGTTTCGTTTTCCAGAGTTCCATAGATCCAATCCGTTAATCATTTCCTAGTCATCATCAAAGTTCTTTCTTTATCTGCCCGCTTGTCCAAATGCCTGGTCCCAGATCCATGTTTTTAGTTTTTTCCTAAAAGAAAGGAGCGATGTTACAGATCTAATTTCCCCGGGGAGTGAATTCCACAGGTGGGGGGCCACCACCGAGAAGGCCCTGCTCCTCGTCCCCACCAATCTCACTTGTGATAGAGGTGGGGTCAAGAGCAAGACCTCCCCAGAGGATCTTAGGCTCCAGGGTGGGACGTAGAGGGAGATCCGTTCGGACAGATACACTGGGCTGGAACCGTATAAGGTTTTGTAGGTCAAAACCAGCACCTTGAATTGTGCTCGGAACTGGATCGGCAGCCAGTGGAGCTGACACAACAGGGGGGTGGTATGCTCCCTGTATGACGCCCCGGTGAGTAGTCTGGCTGCCTCCCGCTGGACTAGATGGAGTTTCCGAGCAGTCTTCAAAGGCAACCCCACGTAGAGTGCGTTGCAGTAATCTAATCGGGATGTAACACGAGCGTGGACCACCGTGGCCAGATCCGATTTCCCAAGGTATGGGCACAGCTGGCGCACAAGTTTTAGTTGTGCAAAAGCTCTCCCAGCCACCGCCGAGACCTGGGCTTCCATTGTCTTCAGCATTCCATTGCTACACACCCAGGATGGACTCTGCCTCCTGGAAACCTCTCAGCTCCAGGAACCACCTCTGAACCCCCACTGGAAGCCCCAGGGCTTCCCTGCCCAGCTGGGAGGGGATCCCCAGCC